TGTTCATTGGATACTCAACCACTCAAAAGGGCTATAAGTGTTATGATCCGGTCAATAGCCGTGTGTATGTGTCTCGAGATGTGAAATTCTTAGAGGATCAATGTTACTATGACAAGAAAGATTGGAATAGCTTGGAAGATCTATCTCACATTCACATGGACCGTGCCTCAAATCTAAAATTTCTTCTTGATCATCTTGGGAATACTTCTCCAAAGACACCAAATCATGATAAACCCGCCGATTTAGGAACCACCGGACATTCGCAACCCGGCGGCCATCCGCAGCTTGTACCGGAGGATGCTTTGACCATCCCGATGGGTTCTCTACCAAGTCCGGATACTCATTCTCTCAACCAAGAGCCTCATCTGGACCCTATCCATGGTAATGAAAGTGATGTGCAATCGGAAACACCAGCAATGCATGAAGAAGAGGAGGAAGAGGAAGATGTGGAAGAACATCTACCTCCTCCACAACCTCTTAGAAGAAGTGCAAGACTCCAAGAGAAAAGAGTCTTCTACAACAATCAAGCTGTGGCTCATCCAATAAAAGCCGTTTGTTCGCTTGCCCTCTTGCCTACCGACCATCAAGCATTTCTTGGAAAGATTGACGCACATACCATTCCTCAATCTTATGAAGAAGCCAAAGAAGATGATCGTTGGATTCAAGCCATAGAGGATGAAACCGGAGCCATGATCCGCAACCATACATGGGACGAGGAAGCTCTTCCCCCGGGAAAGAAGGCCGTAAGCTCTAAATGGGTCTTTACAATTAAGTACTTAAGTAATGGTGAGGTGGAAAGGTTCAAGGCTCGACTTGTTGCACGTGGATTTACTCAAACATATGGGGATGACTACACGGATACATTTGCCCCGGTGGCCAAACTTCACCCGGTTCGGGTTATTCTCTCTCTAGCCACCAACTTATCTTGGGATTTGTAGCAAATGGATGTTAAAAATGCCTTCCTCCAAGGAGAACTTGAAGAAGAAGTGTATATGACTCCACCTCCCTGCCTTGAATCACTTGTCACGCCGGGCAACGTTTTACGTTTGAGGAAAGCAATCTATGGTCTCAAACAATCTACGAGGGCTTGGTATCACAAGCTAAGCTCCACTCTCAAAGATCATGGGTTTAAGCAATCCGAGGCCGACCACACTCTCTTTACTCTTCAAAGTGATCATGGTATTGTTGTTGTTCTCGTATATGTGGATGATATCATCATCTCCGGGAACAACAAGGAAGCTATTCAAGACACTAAACTCTTCCTTAAGTCTATATTTGATATAAAAGATCTTGGTGAACTCAAGTACTTTCTTGGAATTGAGGTATGTCGCTCTCCGGAGGGCTTATTTCTTTCTCAAAGAAAGTATGCTCTTGATCTTTTGAATGAGACAGGGAAACTTGGATCCAAACCGGCATTGACACCACTTGAAGAAGGCTATACGGTCAAGCGAAAGGGGGAGAAGAAGAAGGGCAAGAATAATGTTCCCTTAGATCCTCTCGATGAGCCGTATGAAGACCCGAAGCAATATCGACGCCTTGTAGGTAAATTCATCTACTTAACTCTCACACGGCCTGACCTTTGTTTTGCCGTGAATCAGGCCAGCCAATACATGAAGAATCCCACCAAGTATCATTGGAATATGGTGGAGAGAATCTTGAGATATGTCAAAGGTAGCCCTGGTCAAGGTCTTTGGATGGGAAAGAATGCAAATACCGAGATGGTAGGATATTGTGATGCGGATTATGCCGGGGATACTATCACAAGGAGATCAACAACCGGCTATTGCACGTTCGTTGGTGGAAATTTGGTCACATGGAAGTCTAAGAAACAAAAGGTAGTTTCATGTTCTAGTGCGGAAGCGGAGTATAGGGCCATGAAGAAGCTTACAAATGAACTCACTTGGCTAAAAGCCCTCCTCAAAGACCTTGGCATTGAAACACCGAGACCTATCACCATGCATTGCGACAACCAAGCCGCCATTCACATAGCCACAAACTCGGTCTTCCATGAGAGAACCAAGCACATTGAAGTGGATTGCCACAAGGTCCGAGAAAAGATTGAAGAAGGTGTAACACTACCATGTTACACTAGAAGTGAAGATCAATTGGCGGATATCTTCACCAAGGCCACATGTCCTAAGGTTTGCAAT